TCTATCACTTTCTCTTCCCCCTGCCTGTTTTTGTTTCTTTCTGTATGGCAGCATCTGCTGCCATTAAAAAAGTGATAGGACTCATGGCAATTACAAACTTCCGTATTGAGGGTTTTAAACCACATATATATCTTTCAACCTTTCAAGATTCGGTGGAGATATAATGTTTAGCAAATCGTGAATGTTCAATAAATCTTTCAGTATATTCCCGTACCATCCAACTACCCTGTTCCAAGTTCAAAAATTCTTCATCTAATTGTCCGATCGCAACTTTTGGACATTATTGTTCTTTAAATCGATCGACAAATCCTGACCAAGACATAGTTTGAAAGATATTTGGTTTGGCTAAAGATTCCACATCCCATGAATATAAAGCATTAGATTTCAACATCGATACCGCAAATCTGAACTTGTCTTCCTCTGGGCATTTACTGGTGTTGAACACAGATTCAATGTCTTTTAACCAGCACATTGCTTTTACGGGTTCTCCTTCTCCAGAAAATGTTGGGGGCTTACAAGTTAAAAACATATTAATATCACCCATCTACTGTTTGCAACTTGAATTTGTGCATTTACCTCGACTCTTTTTGTTTCAATTCTGGATGGTACCTGCTCGTCGGTTTATCCAACCTTAAATTTCAACACAAAAATAGAACTCGGCACAAGTATACACCTCGAACTACTGTCGTCTCGTAACAAGTATAATGGTATAAGTACCAGATATCGTTCCCACAGAGATAGCTTGTAAAGTTATTTCAAAAGTCCAGTTTATAAAAACTAATTTCAGATAGCGAAACGAGGGATTTGATTTAATTAACAACTAAGAAAAATATCAGTCTTAAAAAGAAGCACATGGTGCAAAAGTTGATTAAGACACTAAACAAATGATTCAACAAAAAGGTGATATAGCATTCCTGTCACAATTATCTAAAATCAATAAATGATTTTATATAACTGTCACAGTATCAACTATCGGGTCAGATGGCCTCCCAAGAGCACACACTATCGGGTCAGATGGCCTCCCAAGAGCACACACCGGTCAACGTGCTATCGATACGATATCATTTATGTTAGACGTCGTGAATCCTAGCACAACACAGTGTTACCATCCTACACCGTAGGAGTATAGCATTTGTCAGACACTAAAACTATTTATAGCCTTCTCCTATTAACTCAGATTTTGAAAGTCAATACATTTTTATACACAAAATTAGTTGTCAATTAATTTTAATGTAATCATCAAATGAAATATTAAGCACCTGAAACAAATAGTAGACTATAATGCTAATAAGACACCTTTGTACTTTCACATCGGCTTTGGTCTTAATTTCCCGTTACACCCTAAGCTAAGGCGTTTAGCCCATCATCGCTCGGTTTCTTCTCTCGAATGATGTAAGGACCGAAAGATAAATAACTGATACGGAAAAGTAAATTGCAGAAAGTAAATTACAGGAAATGGAAATACTGGAATTTAAAGTACTGGAAATTAAATGACAGAAATATAAATGACTAAAAGTAAATTGCTGAAAATTAAATGATGGAAAAGTAAATTGCAGTAAAGTAAAATACAGAAATGTAAAGACTGAAATATAAAAGACTGAAATATAAAGACTGAAATGTAAATGACTGAAATTAAATTATTAATAACTAAATATTATTAATTAATATTAAACTAAGACATGATGGAGATTAGTACTTGATGGGATGAAGATGTGACAAAAGAAAGCCTTGAAAATAGGGGTTGACTTTTAGGAAGCTTGCAAGACAAGTAACAAAACTTGCAAAACAAGTTTCGTTACTAAGACCGAAAAGGTTAGTTGCAAATTCTTAAAAACAAATTATTTAGTCTACGTAAATTAGTCGTGAGCCACAAAGGATGAAATCCAGTGTAAAGCAACAAAGATCGACTAATTCGTAACTTGTAACAAAATTCAGAAAATGTAACGTAACTTGGAAATAAGAACAGAAATGAGATGAAGATTAAATACGAGCACTTGTATTAAACTTGAGAATGAAATCACACTTCACAAAAATTGGTTCTTGGTTGGAAGCAAGAAAACCAAAAGCTTGAAACCGAAAACAATAATCTAGAGAGCAATTAACACAAAGATTATAAGTGTTAAATGGTAGAAAGCATGAGAAAGTGTATGAAAACCAAAGCCTTAAGCCTCTATTTATAGGCTAAGGGAGTTTGCACAATGAGAGCCACCTAATAAGACAAAAGGAGCTTCAAAAATAGGCTTTGACCAGGCCCAAGGTCGTTGACCCAGCAGCTTCAAGGGAGCAACCCAAAAATTCTTGGCCCAGGCAAAAGTGCAGCTCACGGACAGGTACTACAGGATTCTGCCACTCCTGCTCCTACAGGACTCCTGTAGGATTTGGCCTAAAAATCATCAAAAAAACTGCATAAACATGGAATTAACATTATATATGATATATTACCACTAATATATAAAAAAGAAATAAAAAGACTTAATTACGACACTAATAGGCAAATAAAACAAGTGAAAATGGTTAAGAAAATGATGTAATAAGGTTAATAAAATTAGCACTTATCACACCCCCAAACTTGAATTGTTGTTTGTCCCCAAACAACAGAAAATGACAAATTAAAAGACTCAAATTTCTAATAAACTAAAAAAAATCGAGCTTAAATATTCAATAGCCAAAATATGCATATTTTTGAAATTTTTTGAATGAAAGTGTTATACTCTTGACTTGATGCTTGATATCCATAGCCCTTCATAAACCTAGCTCCCCAAAAAAATAAATCTTTCATATTGCCAACCCATAAGCTAGCCTACATTTCTTTTGCTATACTAGATTCAACAGATAATTTGGGACTTTGACTTGGGTTCTTGCATTTGGCTTTTTCTTTTCAATGCATGCCTTTTACCTTATCTCACTTTTTCACTCCATAGCACAATTTTACTGCTATGCATCTCATATTGAGGTATTTTGGACACTTTGGTCCTTTTCAAATATTCTGGTGTACTTTGACACTCTTTTGTATGCACAAGACATGGAACTTTGTTCCTTTGTTTGTCTTTTGGTCTTAGTGCATACGTTTCATGAACTCAATTAAGTGTTTGGTACTTTTAGGACCCTCCCCCAAACTTAAGGGAAACAATGTCCTCATTGTGAGTGTATCAAGGTTACAAATTGGCCAAATTGAAATGAAGGCCCAATTGAATCAAGTAAAAGCTTTGGAAATGGTTGGCTAGTTCTAGAGGCTCAATCTAAGACAAATATGGTGTAACTTTGGATTATTGTGGCTATGGTATCAAGTTCAAACATTTGTACAACAAATTCATCATTTATTTTATTTTTGGTGCATAGATGGCCAAGATAATATATGCTAATTAAAATTAGTGCCCAAAATCCTAAAATGAAATAGAAAAGCAAAGATGATCAATAACAAGTGTAATTGATTATCTTTAAAAGCAAAAAGACTCAAAAATAATTGAAACAGAAAAGCAAAGATGAGAAGTCACAAGTGTGACTTGATCTTCTTGTGAAAATAAAATTGACTCAACGACTTAGATAAAACCAACAATCCAACTCTAAGTCCAATTGACTCTAGAGTAAGGATGTGGTACTAAGGTTGATCTTCAAACCAAGTAAACAGTCAACCAGAGGACTGTATTATCATAAAACATGGTAATATTAGGCCAAACAATGGGATTGCCATTGTTTTACCATGAGATAGACCAATTGGAACCAAACAATGGGATTGCCATTGTTTTCACCAAGTAACAGACTAGATGCAACCAAACAATGGGATTGCCATTGTTTATTTTCATGAAACAGCCTAAACTGTTTTTAGCATATACTAGGGATGTAAAAGTTGAGAGCATCAAACATGGTCCTCCCTCAAAACAGTTATACCAGCTGTGTACACAGCAACATCAACCAATCTGTGCAAACATCAAAGAGTAAAATGGCAACATTCTAAAACAGCAACACATCTCAAATGAGATAAATGGGAAATACTACTAAGATTAAAATAGCAAATGACAAGCCTAAGTGCATAGGGAATTGCATGCTAAGGACTGGATTAAAACAGCAAAAACCTAAATACAATCATAACTCATCCTAGCTTTTGGCTAAAACATGCTTATGATGTTCTAAAACAACAAAATAAAACTAAGGTGGTTCCTCAAAACAACAAAGCAAAAAGACAGTAATCAACAAGACATGAAACATCAAAGAACTAATGAAAACAACAAAAATCAAACAGCACACTAGACCTAAAAACATCAATTTAAAACAATAGAGTCTAAATCTCAAAACAGCTAAAATTCATGTGAAAACAGCAAAATGAATACCAAACAGTACCCAAAGATTAAATATTAATTAGAAACCAAACCAGACTACTAGGACCTAAGACACTACTATTAAAACAGAGGAAACATCATGGACTTTAAACAACAAACACATGAACTAGACTCTAAAACAGTGAAACAGAAAGCTACTATATGAAGTAGTTTAAAACAACAAATAGAAAGGAAAATAAAGTCACCATACAGGTAAGCCTAAGGCTTAAGATTGTTCCTTATGATATGCCTGAGATGAGTCAAACAGTAAAAACTAGAATAAACTACTACATGAAAACAGCAAAGCAAGAAGAACACATTCAAATAGCAAAAGAAAATGAAACACTAGAAGTTATTTGTTAAAACAGAGAAAATAGCAGGTTGCAAACACAAAGGCATGCACTAGACCTGTAAAACAACAAACTTCAACAGAACCTACAAACTATCCACTCTTAAACAACAACTAAAAGCATGCCAAAATAGCAAAACAGCAAAATAGATATGAGCTTCTAATAAAGACCTATGCATAACAAAATATATACAAAGAAGTGAGAAGATAGAACCTGTCCTACTCAGACTGAGTAGGAGAGTCTGAATGCTGCAAGAGGATGGACTTGGGTGAAGGTGGAAACTTGATTGAACTATGTGATTTCCTATGCTTGGAGGTATGCTTGGGGTGATCATTTATGTAGCTGCCTCTGCCAGGGTGTTTAAAGAGGTAGAATCCTCTTTTGTTGATCTGGATGCACTGGCTGGAGCAGCAGGTTTCTCTGGTGGTGAATCATTATCATCAGATAGTGCAATCACAGTGCCCTTCTTCTGCTTTACTGGCTTGAAATTGGTAAGGCCCCTAGCTCTACTTCTGGTCATTCTGAGGGTAGCTTGATATTGTGGCTGTGAAGGTGGTTGTGGTTCAGTCTTCACAACCCTTTGGGGTTGAGTTTGATTTTGAGTGGGTGGTTGAGGTGTTGATTTGGCAAATGAAACCTGCCTCAAGGGAATGGCATCAATGGGTTCCTCCTCACTAGCACTGGATTCGTCGTTGTTGTTCACAGGGGCATGGAATCAGACTCTCCCTCTCTTCTTCTTGGCCGAGACTTGAGAATGGCCATACAGAGGGAATAGGGGAATGTTTTTTGGAAGCAAAGAAAATTTAATGATTGTGAACAGTGGCTAGGAAGAAATTCGAATGGTGTATGAACAGTGATTAGGGGGTTTTTAAAGGCCTCTAAACTTCGTCTCCAAGATTGTAGCTTCGAAAATTTTAAAATTTTCCCTAGATGATTGACAGTTATCGAGCGACGAGTATGATTAGTCAGAAACCGTACCTTGCTTAGTAATGCCAGTTCACATGAAGTCTTTTTTCTCTGAAAATGGTTGCTTGGGATTAGCTATTGCTTACGGGAAGTGGTACAATGGAGAGGAAGGTACAGTGATGGAGTGAGTTGAGAGTTTGAAGATGAATAGACAGTAACTGGTACAAGAAAAAACGCGGGCTCTTGACAGGCCGTACCAATATGCAGGCTTCGATCTTGGGCTTCTTTCGCGTGGGCTATTTGACTTGAGGCGTACTAGACAATTCTTCCACCATGGGCTTCCTATACATTGACTTCACTTTGGGCCTTCCTCCTCGCGGCCTGTTTAAGACATGAAAATGGCCATCAATTTCTTTAGCCGGGCCTGTTTAGTCAAGAGATTGGGCCGGTTGTTTTAAATCAAAAGCTGGCCTAGAATATATTAAAACAAAACCCAACTTTTAGATTAACTATAAAACTTAACAAAATATATTATAAAGAAATAGAAAATTATTCTAGAATAAAAGAAAATAAAATTAAAAGCTTAATTTTAAAAAATAAAAAAAATGAAAATGCAAAATAAAATAATAACTTATAAATATATATATATATATATATATATATATAGACAAAATATTTACAAAGAATTATTACTTTAGAAAGATAACCTCGACAGTTTGCGTAACAACCATTGAATCAAAGAAAGGTTTCACTCTTTGTCCATTCACTTTGAAAGTGGTACCCCTCTCCGGATGTATCAGGTCAATAACTTCGTAGGGGTATACTTTGGCAACAACAAAAGGTCTGGTCCATCGGGAATTCAGCTTTCCAGAAAATAACTTTAACCTTGAATTAAACAATAGGACTTTTTGGCCTTCTGTGAACTCTTTTGGAAGAATCTTTTTATCATGCCATTTTTTGGCATTTTCTTTGTATAGCTTAGCATTTTCATAGAAAAAATTCCTATGCTCTTCCAATTCACAAAGTTGCAAAGTCCTTTTTCTTCCGGCCTCATCTAAACTCATGTTGAGTTCCTTAATGACCCAATAGGCTTTGTGCTCTAATTCCACACGTAAATGACAAGCTTTTCTAAAGACCAATTTATAGGGAGACATACCAATAGGGGTTTTGTAAGCAGTCCGGTAGGCCCAYAAHRCATCATCTAACTTAGAGGCCCAATCCTTTCTATGTGGCTTGACTACTTTGGCCAAAATCCCTTTTATCTCCCTATTTGACAATTCAGCTAATCCGTTGATCTGAGGATGGTAGGCAGTTGCTACCCTATGCTTGATGTCATACTTATCAAGAACTTCTTCTAACATGTTGTTTATGAAGTGAGTGCCTTCATCACTAATTAAGGCACGAGGTGTACCAAATCTAGTGAATATGTGCTTTTGTAAAAACTTAACAACTGTTTTAGCATCATTGGAATGGCAAGCCATGGCTTCCACCCATTTGGACACATAGTCCACATCAACCAATATGTAGGCACAATTATTGGACAGAGGAAAAGGTCCATAAAGTCTATACCCCAAACATTAAATAATTCTATTTCTAGAATTCCGTTTAAAGGCATTTCATTTCTTCTAGAGATATTTCCACCCCTCTGACACTCATTGCAACTTTTTACAAAGTTTTGAGCATCATTGTGCAAAGTAGGCCAGTAGAATCCTGATTGTAAAACCTTAGATGCTGTCCTACTCTCTCCAAAATGTCCTCCATAAGGTCCTGCATGGCAGTGCTGTAGAACTGATGGTACTTCTTCTTTTGGGATGCATCTTCTAATCACCTAATCTGCACAAATTTTAAACAAGAAAGGGTCATCCCATAAATATTTCTTTGAATCATAGATGAGCTTCTTTCTTTGATATTTATTAAATTCCTTGGGAATAATCCCACAAGCTAAGTAATTAACAAGATCAACGAACCAACGCACAGTAGTATGATTAAGAACCAAAATTCTTTCATCTGTAAATACTTCACAGATGTCACTACTTTGCACTGGTTTGTCTTGTTTTTCCAATCTTGACAGATGGTCGGCCACTTGCTTATCCACCCCTTTTCTATCAATGATTTCCAAATCAAACTCTTGCAAAAGCAAGACCCACCTTATTAACCTTGGCTTTGCATCTTTTTTAGAAATAAGGTACTTGATGGCAGCATGATCTGTATGAAGAATTACTTTGCTTCCCATCAAGTATGATCTGAACTTTTCAAAAGCATAGACCACAACTAATAATTCCTTTTCAGTAGTGGTGTAATTGATTTGAGCATCATTAAGAGTTTTGCTTGCATAATAAATAGGATGAAAAATCTTTTCTTTCTTTTGTCCTAACACTGCTCCAACTGCCCAGTCACTAGCATCAGTCATTATTTCAAAGGGTTTGGGCCAATCAGGTGTTATTACCACAGGAGCAGTGACCAATGCTTCTTTTAAAATGTTGAAAGCTTTTCTACAATCTTCATTAAAATTGAAAACATGGTCATGCTGTAATAATAAACAAAGAGGTTTTGATATTTTTGAAAA